GGTTCAAACCCACCAGCCACTCCTCGGAAGGAAGATGGGGCAATCTACTTCTGTGGTGATACTGCCTTGAAACCCAAGGAGGGGTCGCTATGAGTCGGGTCCTACTCAACGGCAAATAACGACAACAACAACATAAAGAAAGATACAAATAAATAGTATTGGGGCTTACAGAATGGGCAAATTAGTCAAGGATAACAAGATTTTGGACAAAAGCAATTTGAATAATGATAGTGGCAACATTATAAACTGGCAAATCAGCATGAGTAGGGAATAAGATGAGGCAGAGCTACTTTTGGAATATATAAATACAAATAGCCTGCAGACAGTTGGAGAAATGGTTCTAGAATACAGGAAAGAAAAGAGATTGGAACTTGGGAGTTATCTGCATTGTTTAGATAGTTGAAGCCGTGGAAATTGATGACATAATGGAAGATAGAACCTTGGATGTCATTGAAGCATTTTGAATTTCAGAAACAGACCAAAGAAAATGAGGACTGAGCAACAACTGGAACATTTGCTTGTCCTTAAGGAGCTTACTGGTTAAGCAGCCCACTACTATTTGAAAAGCTGGCCGTTTGAGCCCACCAGAGGCACCTCGGAAGACAGGCCTCACAGTCTGCTTCTGGAAGGTCACGGTCGTGAAAACTGTGGAGCAGTTCTGCTCTGCACTCATGGGGTCACCATGAGTCGGGATTGACGGCATCTGACAATGACAACAACAGCAGGTTATTGATGCCCTTAAAAGTCTTTGTGGCTGAGTTATAACAGGAGGTACGTACTCCTTAGAATAAGCAACCATAGAGAGTCCAAAGGGAGCATCTGTCCAGGGATAAAGCTCAGAAGGCAGGAAGGGATAAGAAAGAAGGATGAATGGAAATGGTAACATGGGGAGGAAGTGGGAAGAGGGCTGCCACACTGTGGGGATTGCAGTCAGTGTCATGAATCAAAAATGTGTATGAACTGTTGAACGGAAAATCAGTTTCCTCTGTAAGTTTCACCCAAGTCAATACCAAAAAGCCAAACTCACTGCCGTCAAGTCGAATCTGACTCATCGCTACCCCTCCTTGGGTTTCTGAGGTGGTATCACTACGGAAGTAGATTGCCCAGCCTTCCTTCCGAGGAGTAGCTGGTGGGTTTGAACTGCCACCCTTCTGGTTAGCAGTCAAAGTCACAATAAAAAGTTGAAAAAAAACAAACTAAGTCTCTGTAGGTGGATGTGGGAATCATGTTATAGCAGTTTGAAGAATGGGAGAAAAGGAAGTGGCATAAGTAATCTGGTGAAAAGTTTGCTGGTGAAAAGAAATGAAGAGAGACCATAAACTTGAAGAGGCAGGAGGATGACATTCTTTCTTTTCTTTTCAGGGTTAAAGGAAATTTGTGCATGTTAGTGAGCACTGGGTAAGAAGCTTATAGACAGGAAGCATTTTAAGATAGAAGCGAGAGAAAGTGATTGAGAATGCCCTGGAGAAGGAAGTGGGCAGGGGATCTAAATAAGCCTTGGAAAGAAGAGAGACGGGGCGTAACGTGTATGAAGGGGCGGCAGAATACCGTGAGGCACTGGTTGAAGTCAGAATGCATCTGTATTTCTAGGTAGTGCCATTTCATAATTTTTTTTCTCTAGTTAAGCACAGTTGATCCATCAGCAGTGGGAATGCTTCATAATGAAAGGGTGATCGAGTTTTGAGTGGCAGTGAGCATATCATGGAAATAACTAACCACAAAATCCATGCTTGGTAAAGAAACCAGTAAAGGAAAAATGAGGCTACTGGGCCAGGAATAGAGGAAGGAGGTGAAATCAGAAGGATGGTGAGATGGGCAGTGGCAGTGAAGGAAGTTTTTCAAGAGGAAAATTGCAGGGCAAGATAGGAATATGCCATTCAGGTTAACCAAGGGTGACCATATAGTTGCTCTCATGGTACCTGTAGGCCTCTGGTTGTTAGCAAGGGTGCACATACCAGTGGTCTGTTGTCACCAGGTACCATTGAGTCGGTCCCTATTCACACCCACCCTGTGTACAGCACAATGAGTCGGTCCCTATTCACGCCCACCCTGTGTACAGCACAATGAGTCGGTCCCTATTCACGCCCACCCTGTGTA